ACAAGAGCATTTGGGTCTGGGGGCAATGTGTCCATGGGGCACTGGGCGGACAACAGACCCATTGGGGCACTGGAGGGAACATGTCCATGGGGCTCTGGGGGGGAAGCCACATCCAGGGGAGCACGTGGATGGTGCAGGCCGTGGTGCAGTCTGAGCTGTGCCGTGTGTCTGAGACCCAGGTCGGCGATGTAGCCATATCCCCGCACACAGCTTGTGCAGTTCTAAGGCAAAGAAATATTTATTCTTCCAAGGTCTTTTTTTCTCTTTGTTATATTTTTACAAACAGACTCTCCCTCTCCTTGCAGACAGTGCCTCGCCAGACACCCAGCCCTGCATGCCTACCCCCCACCTCCAGACCCTGGCCAGGTATCCCAGGCCCTGCAGTCTGCCCCACCGGCCTCATTGAAATGCATGTCTCCACACTTCCTGTCTGCTTCTGTTTTGGACATTGGCATGGACCCAAGGAGACACTCAGTTCAGCCAAGGGGCGCGTCCCCCAGAAAGTGCTTGTGGCCATCACACAGGCCCCAGATAATGGGCCCAACTGCTCCCACTGCTGCATGTCACATCAGCTTCTGGGCCAGGCCCCTCTCTAAAGAAATGGCAAGATTGTCCTGGAGGACACAGCCAAGGAGTGGAGAGGGGTCGATCCCCGGTGCCCCTGGCAGAGGAGGGCTCGCTCCCATTACACTAGGAGACTGGACACGACGACCCCACCTGGACAGGAGCCAGCTGGAGTGAGATTAACCCAGGAGTGTTGGCTTGTAGCGCAGGCTGAGGCTGGTGCTTTGGGGGTGGGGGGGGGGCTGTTCTTCTCCCAGGAAACTGCTGCCAGCCGACCCAACTCTGTTCCTCAGCAAAACCTGTTTAAGTGTTTAAGGGCGGGGGGGTGTGGAATGGTTTTAGCTCTTCCGTGGCGCTGTGAGATGATACAAACAGTGAAGCCGGGGTCAGTGAGGGTTGTAAAAGCTGCCAATTTTGGAGGCCACAGGCTCTCCAATGCCATTTCTGGGGAGCAGAACCGCTGGTCTCCTCCAGCTGGGTGAGTGGAAGGAGCCAAGGCTCCAGGGGCGTGTGTGTGTGAACCCATGTGGTCTACCCAGGGAGGGGGAAACACTTTGCAAGATCAGCCCAGATCCTAGTCCCACTGAAGTTGAGGAAAGGAGCTGTCAGTCACTGTGTGCCTGTGTCGTGCTGGCTTGACAGGGCCCCAGTCTCAGCTAGGGTCTGTGCAGCACCTGGCTTCATCTTGGTTGGGGTCCGTGCAGCAGCTAGCACGACTGGGCCCTGATCTTGGTTGGGGTCTGTGCAGCACCAGGCTTACAGGGCCTCAATGTCGGCGGTGGAGGGGTGGCTGTGCGGTACCTTGCATGATGGGGGGTCCTGAGCTCGGGCAGGGTCTGCACAGCACCTGTGACTTCTAGGGGAGCAGGTATTGGGCTGGGGTTTCTGCTCACTCCAGAGAGGCTCTGGCTGGATCTCGGGGGCTCTCTGGAGTGTTTCTAATGTGCCATGCTGGGCTAGCTGAGCACTGAGCAGCGTTCAGACCCATGTTGAGCTGAGCCCGTTAGCCCTAAGATGCCCTGTTTCTCCTCGACAGCTGGGGTACTGGGCAGGGAACAGGGCTGGGGGCTAAGGCAGGCTCCCTAGTGAGGGCTGTCTCAAGGACACTGGGAGAGCCCTTAGGGGCTACTCTGGAAGAAGCCCCCCTCCCCTGGAGCCAGACAAAGGGCCCCATTAGACATGGATCCTCAGGTCACTGGCCGGGCTGGTTGTTCCAGGGCTCAGATCACCTCGTGAACGTCCATCTGCAGAGGAGTTTGTTCCCCAAAGTCCCATGGAAAGAAGGGTATGTCAGGTGCATATTAGCACGTGTAATCTGCAGATAGTGCAAATCAGAGGGGCCCCGTCCCCGAGGGCTTACGCTCTGGTTAGTGGTTAAGGAGACCAAGTCCCAGGCTTGCAGTTCTGGGCACATGGGACACTGGAGTCCAGGGCTTCCCTGTGATTTGCATGTCGTCAACCATCTTCTAACCTCTTCTCATTCACAATGGGCTCAAGCCCCAAGTCATCGTCACCCCTAGCTCCCACCTCGTGCCTGGCAGGAGGCTCCGATCGCTCCTAGACAAAGGTACAAAGAATGTTCCATCCCCCCTCCCAGGAGCATGCAGTGCGGGGAGTCCCTGGGGGAACCTTTGGCTGTCTGGAGAAGGGGCACAATCCTGAGGTTGGCTCTGAACTGCACGTCAGCAACCACTGTCCATCCCAACACCTGTCCAGTTCCCCACTGCCACAGGACGAGCCCTTGGAGAAAAGCAGCTCTCCACCAAGCCGGCAGGGCCGAGGCCTTCTCACACCCCGTTGGCCCTTTACGCCCCTGCAAGGCCCTGAGGGGAGAGCACGTGGAAGGTGCGTTGCCAAGCACTGCAGGGCAGATCCTTTGAGAGGGAGTTTCTGGTCCTCGGCTGACCCCAAGCAGGAGGGTGATTCCCAGCAGCAGTGGGATCCTTTGCGGATGACCTGCAGATACCGCAGCTGGAGGGCCAGTCCGTTCCGGGGTGTGACTTGGGGAGAGGACAACGTGGCAAACAGGCAGCCAAGAGTCGAGAGCGAGTCACGGGCTAGGGAGAGTCCAGACTCCTTCCTGCCACTGGCGACTCAGAGACCAGCACCGCTCATCACTGATTCATGGGCTCCTCTTCCTCCATCGGCTCATCCTGTGGCCTACGGTAGAGGAAACCAGCCAGCATGGTCAGAGGGGGCCTGTTCCCCCTGCTAACCCCAAGGGGAGCAGCTGGAATTCCCCACACACCATGGTTAGATGGGGGCTGCTCCCCCCGCCATTCCCTACTCGTGGGGGTGCCCTTGCAAACGTGATACTGCAGTTGCAAGCCCTGGGCGCTAAATGCCTTTGGACCGATCTTGCCCTAGTGGGTGCCGTACAACCCCATGGGGCAGACCCCAAGAAGAGGGAATCCCCAGGCACTACCCTAGTGCCCCGTGAGGGCAGTCTGTGCTGCACTCACAGAGCTGGTGCAGGCTGGGCTCAGGGGGTTTCTGGTTAGGGATTTAGGGGGTTAGGCCCAACAGGTGCCCACAGCTCGCCCATGCCCTGGTCCCTGGCTGACAGCACACCGGAGCCATGGTGCCAAGAGGCTCAGGGCCAGAGAGCAGTGCTGGGGTTCTGGGCGACCCCAGGGCTACAGGGAATGGCACCATCACCTCTTCTCCACCATCACTGCCACCGACAAGGAGGCCAAGGCCGTCACCGTCTCCACCTCCTCTGGGTCATGGTGCTGCACCTCCAGGAACGAGCAGCTCACCTTGGAGGCAAAGCGCTGCACGGCGCCCCAGTATTTACCTGAAAGAGAGGCAGGGCTTAGGGGGACCCTCACCCCCATGAGGGCACATTGGGGCAGGGGGAGGGGTGGCCTCCCCATTCTCAGAGCAGGGGAGGAAGAGAGAGGGGTCTTCCTGCTCAGAGAAGAGGAGGAGGAGGAGGGGCAGAGGGCTTGCTGCTCACAGAGAGGAAGGGGGAGGCTGGCCTAGCCTTGCCCAGCCTCTGGCTGTCTGGGTTTTCCTGCACTAGGGGCTTTCCCAAGTTCTCTAGGGTGAGTGGCATGGCTTAGCCTTCTCTGGGAGGGAAATGAGACCCTGACGTGCCCTCGGGCACTGGGGCTGCGCCCCTGCCTGTAGCTCCAGGCATGAAGCAGCCACACAGCTCCAGCACCCCCGCCACGCTCTCGAGCCCCAGCTGAGGCGGGTGCTGAGTACCAGTGATGGAGCCTGCTCTGGAATGGCGGTGTGACTGTGGGGCGCCGTGTCCCCACTCCTCCCCCCCCATATCCCTTTTCTGGCCCCCCTGGAGTCAGCTCCTCCCAGGCACACTCACTCTGGACCCGGATCACTGCTTCCAAGGAGCGCACGGCATTGGGGTTCGGCTTCTGCCTCATGCTCTCCTCTGGGAGGGGATCCAGCTGCAGGGACAAACGCCAGCCAGGTCGTTAGTGCTGCTTCCGGCCGGGAGGGGAGCTCAGTGCAGAGAGTTGTGCAATCCCCCGCTCAGCCCGGAACACACTGCAACTTTTGGCTGGCCCTGTGATGGAACGCTGGGCTATGGGGCAGCCGGGGTCGCAGCCGCGCCCTGCTGCCCTACATGGAGGTTCTGGGATACTTGGGGCCGGCCTATTAGATAGGCACCAGGCTGGCTTTAGGGATGCTGAACAGTGTGTCCTGCTTCAGGGAGATGGAAGAGGAGCAGACTGGTGGGGACCACAGGGCCTGTCATAACAGATCAGCCTTGTCCTGCCCCCACATGGGCCCCCCAATGCTGCAGGAGACAGCAGGCTGTGGGCAAAGGGGGTACCCTGCTGTGTGGCAGTGTCCAGTGGACAGGAGCTGGGCGAGTCACGCATAGGCGCCGACTTCCCCTCTGCCCAGTGGGTGCTCGACCCCCACCGCCCCTGGCCCCGCCCCTGTCCCACTTCTTCCTGCCCCTGCACTGCCTTTGCCCCACCCCCATTCCACCCCTTCCCCAAAGTCCCCGCCCCCCCGCCTTTTCCAACCCCAGCCCTGCCCCCTTCCCGCCCTCATTCCCCCAAGTCCCCGCCCCTGCCCTTCCTCTTCTCCGCCTCCTCCCCTGAGCACGCCATGTCCCCGCTCCTCCCCCTCCCCCCCCTCGGAAAGTCCTAAGTGCTGCCAAACAGCTGTTAGGCGGCCGGGGGGGGGCCTAGAAGGGGGGTGGGAGGTGGGGGGACATGGCGTGGGGGGGGGAGAAGGAGGCGAGGGGGGGGGGAGCTTGGCTGCCGGTGGGTGCAGAAATTAGCACCCGCTAAATTTTTCCCCATGGGTGCTCCAGCCCCGGAGCACCCACGGAGTCAGCACCTGTGGGCGAGTGCATCTCCCCTAACTTCCATGGGATCCAGCCCCATGATTTGCCTCACTTGCCTCTTGCCAGTTCCACAGGGCAGCAACCACTGGGGCAGGGCCAGGGAGCTCGGGCTGCCTCCCAGCTCCGCTGCCCTGACCACTGGGGTTGGGAGGAGCACATGCCAGAGCTCGCGGCCTCACCTCATTGCCCAGCAGGGCGGACACGCAGGCCTCTGAGGCATCGCAGATGGCCGTGAGGTCATGGCCCCCTTCCAGGGCCAGGACGATGGCTCCTCCTGCCAGACTCATCAGCTGTCGGGTCATGTAGCCGAAGCCTAAGGAGGAAGAAGCCAAAGGGGCAGCCTGTCAGCCACCCTGATCATGCCCAGGCACATGGCTGCTTTGCAGACTGCCCTGGCTACCAGGAGCGGGGCTGACAGGGGCAAGCAGCTGGCATTGGACCCCAGCCCAGACCATCAGCCTCGGGGACTCTGTATCCCCGGGACCATGTGTGCCAGTGACTGGGGCAACAGGCTGACCTGCCAGGTGAGGCTGGTCAGCTCCCCCATCCTGCTGAGAGGGGCCTTAACGAGCACGCAGCCAGCAGGGCTGAGCCACTCAGTTCAGGACTCTCTGGCTAATGCCAAAGTGCCAGAGAGCAAATGGGGGTGGCTGCTGCATCACAGAGCACAGGCCTGTGCTGCTATTACCATAACCCCCCAGGAGCAGCCCCCTCCTGCCCTGGCCTTTGCTACGTGGAGAGCCCCTCTGGGCCAGTGCCGGCCACGGGAGCAGCCCCTGGGGCAGCTCTCCCCTCCTCAGAGCGCTTCCACACTGGGAGCACATTTCTCCCCTGCTGGCCTCCCGTAGCAGCTCCTGAACTGTCCTGTTCCGGGCAGACCCAGTCCTGGCTTGCTGTCTAACCTGCCAGTGCACAAGCATCAACTGCAGCTCCTTACATTTGGCAGAGACTTTGTAGCCTCCCAGCGGTGGCGGGTGGCCGTCGGCTGCGTCAAACCCTGCAGACACCAGCACCACGTCCGGGGAGAACTCGTGGGCGATCGGCATCACGACAGTTCTGACAGGGAAGAAAACATACATTCAGCCAGGGGCTGAGCACACGGCAGGGGCTGGGCCGCCCAGCTTCCAGTCCCAGCTCGGACACTGACGCAGCTAGAGTGGCATTAGCAGGGAACTGCAGGGGGAGCAGCATCCACAGAGCTGGACGACACAACGAACCTCTGCCCAAAACTGCAGCCGAGCACACGGCCTTCTCTCCCTACACCTCTGCCCCAGGAAAAGGCCCCTCTGGGACGGTGCAGTGGTGACAGGTGCTGCACAAACTCTGTGATTAGAACTTCAAAGACAAACACACAGAAGGTACCCTAGAGCAGGTGTCAAACTCTAGGCCACCGGCCAGAACTGTCCTGCTCGATGGAGCCCCTGTGACATGCGCTGGTTTGGCAGGATCTATGCTTTCCAGCCCTCAGGGTAGTGAAGCTGGCCTTCTCAACATAACCTGTGTACCAATGCAGTGACGTCTTCTGGAGCCTGCAGACAGCCTGAAACAATGGCTCTGGGAGGTGTGAACTCTTTCCCATTCAGAGATGGAGTGTTCACTCTGAAGAGTAATGATTACACGTAATATGTCACGGCTAACTAGTTGTTGCTGATCATTTTATCAGGTGGGCTGTGAATGGAGTGGGCACTTGCCGCTGATGGTGGAGGGAGAGGGAGGAAATTGGGATCTGCGCCAGGAAAGGAAGCGAGGAAACATATGGCCAGGGCTGGAGGTGGGGAAGGAAGAGGTGTTTCGGGAAGAAAAGGCTGAGGCCTACTGAGCGACACTGAAGAGAATGTCTGGGTTAGTTGGTGCATGAAGGTCACACAGCCCCCTTGTCAATAATGGGGGCTGGGGGCTGAGGGTCCCGCATGTACATCCCAGAGCACAAATCCACATGGATCCTGGCTTCCTCCTAAAGGGCCTATGCCTCTAACAGAGAGACAGACAGACATATACTATGGACAGCACAGCCAGACACTGCACATCCCACAGGGATAGAGAGCAAACCACGGGAATACTGGATCCCAGACACAGACAATGTCCGTTCAAAGGAGCAGCTCCAGCATGGCCAGATTCCCTGGGTCTGTGCGCTGGCCCCTCTCCAGCAGATCCCAGCTGGGAGCCTAAGGCCATGCTCCTGGGGACAGCAAGCGAAGCCAGGAGCCAGTTTCAGCTGCAGGCAGGTGGGGAACAAAAGGGAAGTGACCAGGGTGTTGGTTCAAAGGGCAGGATATTCCGTGGGCTCCCTGGAAATGCAGCCTCTCAGAGGGGCTGCTGCTGCTCACAGGCACTCTGGGGCTGGATCAGACTCTCTTCCCCTTTCAGCCCAGCTGCAGTAGGAGACATGGCTGCCCTAGGGCTCTGGGAAGGAGGAGGTCCTGGACAAAGCAGGGCAAGACCTAGGCAGGTCTGTGGACAGCACATTGGGCAGAAGCGTTGAGCGGCCCATGGGTGGGCTGACTCCAGCACTGGCGAGGCTAGGAGGCCTGGGAGTGAGTGGAGATCACATTGCTGTGTAAACAGAGAGCTATTTATAGTCTTTTCAAAGCACGGGTGTGGGAGCAGAGGGGATGACTGCCATGAGCCATGGCCATGTGCGCTGGGCTGGCTCACACAGCGCCTGCAGCTCCCAGCTGGTGCTTAGCTGAGCCAACATAGCTCCTTAACGCCCTGGGCCAGGTCAGGGAGAGGGGCTGTTCCAGCAAGGGTGGCCCCCTGTTGTCTCCCCCTGACACAGGGGATCTGTGCATCTTCCCAAGTGGATGGGGTTGCATCTTTCCAACCCCCCGCCCTACTTTGGGCTGCCCCTTCAGACCCACTCCTGCATTGGGCTGCCCCCTTTGGGGCCACCCAAACCTCCCTGATTTGGGCTGCTCCCAAGGTCCTCCCAAGAGGCAGGATTCCCAAGGGAGTCACTAACCATCCCCTGTGGGAGCAGCCAATGCTGCCCCTGCCCGCGGGCAGCTACTGGGTGCCATGCAGAGAATGCCAGCAGCAGCCTGGGCTGGCATGGGCTCGCCCCAGTCTGCAGAGGGACTGGCTCAGAGTCCTGGCTGCGATCCTGGCCTAACAGTAACCCAATACCCAACTGTGCTGTGCACGGGGTCGCTGAAGCCCCTGGGCTGATGTGCTTCACACCAATGCCCCCCACGCCTCATTCCCCTGCAGTGCTCCTAGTAGGACTGTGAGGAGCCCCAGGAAGCCATGTGACCAGCTGCCTCTGGATGGAACCCCAAGCCCTGCCAAACCCCAGCAGGACTGCGGGGGGACCTGTGCCCAAGCCACGCTGCCCACCCACCTAGCACTTCCTGCCTGTCTGGTGCTCCAGGGCTAGGGCTGGGGTGGGGGGACTCTGGGCTCCAGCGGGGGGGCGGGAGGGGAGGAAGGGGGCTGGGGGCTAGCCTTCCCCATGGGCATGGCTCGGGACAGTTGGGATGGGACACGGCTGGGGACAAAAGGGAAGGGGGGCTTTGGGGTAGAGATGGGGAGGGGTGCAGCTGGGGACAACCAGGGAGGGAGGCGTTGGAGTAGAGATGGGGAGGGGTGCAGCTGGGGACAGAAGGGGAGGGGGGTGGCTGGGAAGAGACAGGGAGGGGTGCGACTGGGGACAGAAGGGGAGGGGGGCGTTGGGGTAGAGATGGGGAGGGGCACGGCTGGGGACAGAAGGGGAGGGGCATGGCTGAAGACAGCCAGGGAGGGGCGCGGCTGGGAAGAGATGGGGAGGTGCGGCTAGGGACAGCCAGGGAGGGGCGCAGCTGGGGACAGAAGGGGTGGGGGAAGGGCTGGGGACAGCCAGGGAGGGGCGTGGTTGGGGACAGAAGGGGAGGGGGGCGTTGGGGTACAGATGGGGAGGGACGTGGCTGGGGACAGCCAGGGAGGGAGGCGTTGGAATAGAGATGGTGAGGGGTGCGGCTGGGCACAGAACGGGAGGGGGGTGGCTGAGGACAGAAGGGGAGGAGCATGACTGAAGACAGCCAGGGAGGGGCGCGGCTGGGGACAGATGGGGAGGGGTGCGGCT